CAGGCTCAGCACCCCCAAGCTCAGCACCCCCAGACTCCGCACCCCCAGGCTCAGCACCCCCAGGCTCAGCACCCCCAGTCACAGCACCCCGAGGCTGAGCACCCGCAGCAGTACCAGAGTCACCAGTGACCTCGACAGGCTCGACCGCATCTACCTGGGACACACCTGAAGGGGCAGGACCCTGAAGGGGGCGGGGGTCTACCGGGGGGGGACCTGGTACCAAGAAGAGCGGGGGTGGGGGGAGGGACGGAGTGCGGTAGGGGAAGAGGCGGTAGTAGGGTACCGACTCGTCGAACGTGACGTCTTGGGAGGACAGAATACGGCGAGAGGTGTGGTGGTAGAACTGCCACCCAGGGGCGTCGGGGGGGAACCCAAGGAAGACGCAGGGAGCAGCGCGAGGGGACAGCTTGTCCACAGACAAGTCGCGGACAAACGCCCGAGATCCCCAGACCCGGAACGCCGACGCATCGCCAACCTTCCCCGTCCACAGCAGGGCTGGGGAGGTCTCCGGCCTTGAGACCCTGGGGTGGAGGTTGAGCTGATGCGCCGCGTACCTCACCGCAAACGGCCACAGAAAATGGGTTCAGCCGCATGCATCATAGACGTACGAGCGACGTCCATGACCATGCCAATGCGGCGCTCTGCAATCCCATTTCTCTGCGGTGAAGGTGTGGGAGGCCGAAGCCGACGCAGTACCTGAGAGCGCAGACTCACGAGTACCTGAGAGTGCAGACTCACCAGTACCTGAGAGCACAGACGCACTGGCACCTAGAGCAGTAGCCTCACTAGCACCTAGAGCAGTAGTACCAATGCCCGGGTCGGGCGGGAAACACCGGTAACAGTCACCCTCATCACTAATAGTCACAGCATACATGGCAGCAAGGATAGCATCAAAGTCAAGATCAAAGATAGCTACACCAGCCCTAGACAGCTCTCCCCAGCGGGGAATCTCCGCGGCCTCCGGGAACTGCTGGCGCCAAGCGTCCGTCAGGCGGCCAAAGCAGCGCTGGGCGGTGTGGGTTCCCCCACACTGCTCTCCAGCGCGGTCGCCAGTGCGAAGGACGTAGGTGCAGGGACCAAAACCCCCACCACGCTAACGCTGCGTGTACCACTCACGGAGATGCTGAGGGGTGGGGACGTCGCGAGAACGCTGCTGCTGCTGCTGCTGCTGCTGGCGCTGACCACCCCTAGTGCTGCTCCGCTGCGAAGCGCCACTCCGACCACCTCCACCACCGCCACCCCCGCCTCCGCCTCCACCGCCGCCACCTCCGCCACCTCCGCTCCTATCGCCACCGCCGCCGCCACCTCCGCCTCCACTGCCGCCACTAGTACCCCCACCCCCGCCACCACCTCCACCGCCACCCCCACTCCCCCCGCCGCCCCCACCTCCACCGCCACCGCCCCCGCTACCTCCACCCTCGCCCTTGCCCCCATTGCCCTTGCCAGGGCGGCGTCTCCCGCTAGGGGCAGACGCCGCACCGACCGACTCAAGTCCAACAAGGTCGGCCGCAGCGGCAGAGGCGACAGAGGGCAGCAGGGGGGAAGGAGAACACCCCTCAAAGATGGGGGTGCGGGGGTCACCAAAAGAGGCCCCTACAGCGACTATACTCTTCTCGGCCGCTAGTAGGGACTTCTCGAGGAGGTCTACAGTGAGAGTGGTGGGACAGACCGAGAGAAAGTGGTCCCTAACTACACGAAGGGAGTCAGGGAGACGAGTGACTATAAAGTAGAGAGTGATGTACATGGGGGGGGGGGTTCTTGGCGCAGAAGTCAGTGGGAAGCGCAGCGTGGTAGCGGGTGTCACTAGTGCAGAGGTGTGTAATGAGGTCAGCAACAGTGGGAAAGGCAGCAAGGTCAGGGAAGAGGTACGGTAGCATGAGACGGCTCAGTGCAGCAGTGGCAGGGGAGGAGTAGCGCGCAACTACAGCGTCGTACAAGGTCTGTGCACTCTTGTACTGACTAAAGTGTGCACGCTCAGAGGTGGGGAGGTGGCGACGCACAGCAAGACGTGCAGCACCATCGCGTTTGGCCCACTTGGAGCGAACAGTGGGGTCAGCATCAGCAGCAGGGGCAGGGACGGCGCCAGAGGTAAGGTCAAAGAGAGAAATGTCATCTACCCTATCGCACTGCAAGTACAGCTGCAGGTCGTCGACCCAGACCTCAAAGTCAATGGCACGACCCTCAGCGTCAAAAGCTAGGACACTAGGGGTAGCCATCACGACAGACGCCTAGCAGTGCAAGCAGTAGGGTGAGGGCAGTGCAGCGAAAAGGGCTCTGTGCTCACCAGACAGGGCAGAACAGGAAGTAAGGCAGCTTGGTGGCCGGCGGCTCGACTGCTGGGCGGCTCGGCTGCTGGGCGGCTCGGCGGCTCGGCTGCTCGGCTGCTGGGCGACTCGGCGGCTCAGCGACTCTGCTGCTGGGCAGCTCGGCTGCTGGGCGGCTTGGCTGCTGGGCGGCTCGGCGGCTCAGCTGCTGGGCGGCTCGGCGGCTCGGCTGCTTTGCTGCTCGGCGGCTCGGCGGCGCAGTGGCTCGGTCACTGGGCGACCCGGCGGTCAGGCGGCTCGGCGACCCTGGTTCAGGGCGGCGTGGCGGCCGTGGGTAGGACGGCGGGTGGGCCGCAGGTAGGGCGGCAGGCGTGCCGCAGGTGGGGCGGCAGGCGAGCTGCAGGTAGGGCGGCGGGCGTGCCGCAGTGTAGGGCGGCCGTCGGGCCGCAATGTAGGGCGGCGGGCGGGCCGCGACATAGGGCGGCAGGCGGGCCACGACGTAGGGCGGCGGGCGGGCCGCGACGTAGGGCGGCGGGTGGGCCGCAGGTAGGGCGGCGGGCAGGCCGCGACGTAGGGTGGCGGGCGGGCCGCAACGCAGGGCGGCGGGTAGGCCGCAGGTAGGGCGGCGGGCAGGCCGCGACGTAGGGCGGCGGGCAGGCCGCGACGTAGGGCGGCGGGCAGGCCGCGACGTAGGGCGGCGGGCAGGCCGCGAGTGGGGCGGCGGGCAGGCCGCGACGTAGGGCCGCGGGCAGGCCGCGAGTGGGGCGGCGGGCAGGCCGCGACGCAGGGCGGCGGGCGGGCCGTCGACGTGGGGCGGCGGGGCCGCGACTTAGGGCGGCGGGGCCGCGACGTAGGGCGGCGGGCAGGCCGCACCGTAGGGCGGCGGGCGGGCCGCGACGTAGGGTGGCGGGGCCGTCGAAAGGCAGGGCGGCGGGGCCGTCAGCTAGGGTGGCTCGGCGCGTCGTTAGGAGGCGACCCGACGGGTCGCTAAAAAAAAAAGGAATAAAAAGGGAGAGCGCGACTCGAGGCGCGCTTCGGTGGGCCCTAGGAACAGTCCCTAGGAGGGGACCTGCTCTGATTCCATGTGTAAATGAGAACGAGAATGAAATAACTATGAACGAAGTGAGTACAAATAGGAAACCCCAATTGGGTTGTACCCCCTATGGGATACCCCACTATAGCCTACACAAATAAGTAAGCTATAATGTTCTGACATTCGCTGCTGCGGTGGCGGCTTCCGACTAGTTCGCAAGAAGCTCCTCTATTCGCTAGAGTGTTGCTCGCGTCTGGTCCTGGCCGGTGTGTAGCTCCGTAATTTTTTGTACGGAATCATCACCATTTTCCTCCATTTGGCGATTTACAGGAAAATGTGCGACGAAAATGAGAAAACTGAAATGAGAGAATGAAATGACTAAGTGAAAGTTGGATAAAAATACAAACCCTAGAAAGTTGTACCCCATATGTGCTACCCCACTATAGCCTACAATAGCTATGTCATATATCTCTGACACACCCCCATAGGCAAAGTGGGGGAGTACAAGGGGTCACAAGACCAGTCAAGCAAAGCAAAGCAAAGCAAGCTTAGGGTGGATCACAAAGTCACCACACATTCCGAGCACAAGGTCAAGGCCACAAGGCCACTTCACATGCAGGAGTAGACATATATATGTATAAGACTAGACAAGCAAGAGCAGGAGTATATATATGTAACAGTACAAGCAAGGTCAAGAGGTGAGCAAGTGAGGCAAGGCACGCACAAGACCCAGCTAAGTACAGAAGCGCTGATGATCACAAGGCGCAAGCGCCTTGGTGAAGATATCAGCAGTGTTGGCCTCAGAGGCCACGTACGGAAGACGCAACTGACCACGCTGCTGCAGCTCACGAGCAAGGAAGTAGCGAAGAGCAATGTGCTTCGTTCTGTGCTCCAGTATCTGCTATCGACACAAGGCCAGCATGGCCTTGTTGTCTACGTACAGCACTGGACGAGAACGAGGCGGCTCTCCGAGGTCAGTCAGCAGGTAGGTGAGCCAGCGAAGCTCCTGTGCAGCCATGGCCCCGGCGTCGATCTCAGCCTCACAACTGGAGCCAAGAACAGAAGACGAGCTAGTAGCTCGCCACAAAACAAAGCCGGAACCAAGGCTGAAGGTGTAGCCCTGTGACGACCGCTGCGTAGCCTGGTCGTCAGCCCAAGAAGCGTCTGCGTGCCCAGTGAGGACCATTGGACTCTGCCCTCCAAGCACTAGCCCCATGCCCGACGTACTGCACAAGTAGCGCAACACCCTCTTCACTGCGGCCATGTGCTCCGGTCTGTGTCTCCCAGGAGCAACATAGCGTGCGAGAATGCTAAGAGGGTGTGCAAGGTCAGGTCGAGTGCAGGTCATCAGGTACATGAGGCAGCCAACAAGCTCTGCATACGGGCCACTCGACTCTACGGACTCATTCGAAGGCAGAGCTGAGAGCGAGTGGCGAGTAGGCAGAGGAGTGGCCTGAGGCGAGGAGTACGTGAAGCCGAAGCGCTGAAGGACCTGCTGCACCATGTGTGACTGAGTCAAGGCAATGGTGCGGCGTGCTCTATCCCGGGTGATCTGCAAGCCAACGTAGCTGCGCAGTTCATCCAGGTCTGTGCACGTGTGTCTCTTCTGCAGCTCATGTGGGCAAGTCCAGCAGTGTCAGCAGTGGCAAATGTCAGAACATTATAGCTTATATATTTGTGTAGGCTGTAGTGGGGTAGCCCATATGGGGTACAACCCAATTAGGGTTAGTACTTGTACCCAACTCTTTCATAGTTCATTCATCCATTCTCACTTCTCGTCATGGTATCGAGCAGGTTCCCGAGTTGGAATACTGCCTAGGGCCCACCACTAGATTTTCCTTCCCTGCCCGTAGCGCGCTTAGCTCCTAAGCCGAGTAGCGCCTTGAGCCGCCTTAGTGGCCCCAGTTGGCCGCCCTTACTTCCTCTCGAGCCGCCCGCTACGGCCCCGCTACGGCCCCGTCGGCCCCATTACGGCCTCGCTTAGGCCCCGCTACGGCCCTGTCGTCCCCGCTTAGGCCCCGCTACGGCCCCGCTACAGCCCCGTCGGCCCCGTCAGCCCTGCTTAGGCCCCGCTACGGCCTCGCTTCGGCCCCGCTTAGGCCCCGTCGGCCCCGCTACGGCCCCGCTTAGGCCCCGCTTTGGCCCCGTCGGCCTCGCGTCGGCCCCGCTACGGCCCCACTTAGGCCCCGCTCCGGCCCCGTCAGCCCCACTTAGGCCCCGCGTCGGCCCCGCTACGGCCTCGCTACTGCCCCGTCCACCCCGCTACGGCCCCTCTTAGGCCCCACTACGGCCCCTTCTGCCCTGCGTCGGCCCCGTCGTCTCCGCTACGGCCCCATCGCGGCCCCGCCCCGTTGCCACAGCGGCCCGGCCCACCCTTGCGGCCAGCCGCCACCTGCGACCTCGCCACCACCTACGACCCCGCCGCCCAGCGCCCGCAGCGCCAAGCACCCGAACCGCCGGCCAGCTCAGCCGCCCGACCAACCGAGCCGCCCAGCAGCTGAGCCGCCCGACAGCCGAGCCGCCCAGCACCGTGCAGCTGAGCTCCCCAGCAGCCGAGCCGCCCAGCAGCCGAGCCACCTGCAGCCGAGTTGCCCGACAGCCGAGCCGCCGAGCAGCCCGATCGCCCCACCTGCCTGGTAAGAGCACAGTCTCTGCCACTGCACTGCCCTGCCTCACTGTCCTTACTGCCTGCCTACTGCTATTATGGCTTCCCCTAGCGTTCTCACCTTTGACGTTGAGGGTCGTGCAGTGGACTTTGAGGTTTGGGTAGATGATCTGCAGCTTTTCCTGCAGTGCGATAGGGCAGACGGCCTCTCCCTATTTGACCTCACTTTTGGTGCCTCCCCTGCCCCTGCTGCTGATGCTGACGCCAGTGTTTGCTCACAGTGGGCCACACGTGATGCTGCTGCTCGCCTTGCTGTTCGCCGCCACTTACCGGCCACTGAGCGTGCACACTTTGGCCAGTACAAGAGTGCTCAGACGTTGTACGACGCTGTAGTTGCACGCTACTCTTCCCCTGCCACTGCTGCACTGAGCCGCCTCATGCTACCGTTCCTCTTCCCTGACCTTGCTGCCTTTCCCACTGTTGCTGACCTCATTACGCACCTCCGCACTAGTGACATTCGCTATCGCGCTGCGCTTCCTGCTGAGTTCTGCGCCAAGAACCCCCCACCCCCCATGTACATCACCCTCTACTACATAGTCACCCAGCTCCCTGACTCTCTTCGCGTAGTCAGGGACCACTTCCTCTCTGTTTGCCCCACCACTCTCACCGTTGACCTCCTCGAGAAGGCCCTCCTAGCGATAGAGAAGAGCATAGTCGCTGTAGGAGCCTCTTGTGGTGACCCTTGCACCCCCTTCTTTGAGGGGTGTTCTCCCTCCCCCCTCTTGCCCTCTGTTGCCTCTGCTGCTGCGGCCGACCTCGTTGGTTTCGAGTCGGTCGGCGCTGCGTCTGCCCCGAGCGGGAGACGCCGCACCGGCAAGGGCAAGGGGGGCAAGGGCACTGGAGGGGGTGGAGGGGGCGGTGGAGGTGGTGGTGGAGGCGGTGGAGGGAGTGGGGGTGGTGGTGGGAGTGGTGCCGGGGGTGGAGGCGGCGGAGGCGGGGGAGGTGGGGGAGGAAGCGGAGGCGGCGGAGGTAGTGGAGGTGGCGGAGGTGGAGGAGGCGGCGGAGGCGGCGGCGGCGGCGGAGGCGGCAGTGGTGGAGCGAGTCGCGACTCTGCGCCGAGGAGTGGCGCCGGTGGTGGTCAGAGCCAGCAGCAGCAGCGGAGTGGTGTGACCATGTCCCCCTAGCAGCTTCGTGAGTGGTACAACACACGCCAGCGCGGTGGGGGTTTTGGTCCCTGCTCTTACGTTCTCCGTACCGGCGACCGCACAGGTGAGCAGTGCAGAGGTCCACACCCCACCCAGCGCTGCGTTGGTCGCCTGACGGACGCGTGGCGTCGCCAGTTCCCTGAGGCGTCAGAGATCCCTCGCTGGGGAGATCTGGCTAAGGCCGGGGTTGCTATCTTTGATCTTGACTCTGATGCTATTCTTGCTACCATGTATGCTGTTGCTGATAGTGTTGAGGGTGCCTATTACCTGTGTGTACCGCCTGACCCGGGCATTAAGGCTGCCACCCTGGCGCGTCAGGGGGGAAGCCAAGGAAGACGCAAGGAGCAGCACGAGGGGACAGCTTGTCCGCAGACAAGTCGCTGACAAACACGCGAGATCCCCAGACACGGAACGCGGATGCATCGCTAACCTTCCCCGTCCACAACAAAGCTGGGGAGGTCTCCGGCATGGAGACCCTGGGGTGAAGGTTGATCTGATGCGCCGCGTACCAAACCGCAAACGACCACAGAAAATGGGGGCCAGCCGCATGCATCATGGACGTACAGGCGACGTCCATGACCATGCCAATGCGGCGCTCAGCAATCCCATTGTGCTGTGGAGAGTCCGGAAGCGTGAAGGTTCGGCGGATGCCTCGTGCACGACAGTAGGCTCGCAGAAGACCAGAGGAGAACTCTCCGCCTCGGTCAGAGTGCAGACATAGAACAGGAAAGTCCGAGCCGAAGCTCCGCCTGAGCTGGAGACGAGCTGCACGGATCCAGTCGATCAACACCTCAGTAACATCACCCTTGCTGCGCAAGGGGATGAGAAAATAAGAACGAGAATGGAATGACTATGAATGAAGTGAGTACATATAGGAAACCCTAATTGGGTTGTACCCCCTATGGGATACCCCACTATAGCCTACACAAATAAGTAAGCTATAATGTTCTGACACACCCCCATAGGCAAAGTGGGGGAGAACAAGGGGTCACAAGACCAGTCAAGCAAAGCAAGGCAAAGCTCAGGGTGGATCACAAAGTCACCATTCCGAGCACAAGTTCAAAGGCCAAAAGGCCAGTTCACATGCAAGATCACATATGTAGGTATACAAGAGGCAAGGCAAGCAAGAGCAAGAGTATATATATGTGACAGTACAAGCAAGGTCATGAAGTGAGCAAGTGAGGCAAGACAGGCACAAGACCCAGCTGAGTGAAGAAGCGCTGATGATCACAAGGCGCAAGTGCCTTCGTGAAGACATCAGCAGTGTTGGCCTCAGAGGCCACGTACGCAAGCCGCAACTGTCCACGCTGCTGTAGCTCACGAGCAAGAAAGTAGCGGAGAGCAATGTGCTTTGTCCTGTGCTCTAGTCGCTGCTCTCGACACAAGGCCAGCATGGCCTTGTTGTCTACGTACAGCACTGGAGGAGAACGAGGCGGCTCTCCAAGGTCGGCCAGCAGGTAGGTGAGCCAGCGAAGCTCCTGGGCAGCCATAGCCCCGGCGTAGATCTCAGCCTCACAACTGGAGCCGAGAACAGAAGACGAGCGGGTAGCCCGCCACGAAACAGAGCCGGAACCAAGACTGAAAGTGTAACCCTTTGACGACCGCTGCGTAGCCTGGTCGTCAGCCCAAGAAGCCTCCGCGTGCCCAGTGAGGACCACTGGACTCCGCCCTCCAAGCACTAGCCCCATGCCCGACATACTGCACAAGTAGCGCAACACCCTCTTCGCTGCAGCCATGTGCTCTGGTCGGTGTCTCCCAGGAGCAACATAGCGTGCGAGAATGCTAAGAGGGTATGCAAGGTCAGGTCGAGTGCAGGTCATCAGGTACATGAGGCAGCCAACAAGCTCTGGATACGGGCCACTCGACTCTACGGACTCATCCGAAGGCAGAGCTGAGAGCGAGTGGCGAGTAGGCAGAGGAGTGGCCTGAGGCGAGGAGTACGTGAAGCCGAAGCGCTGAAGGACCTGCTGCACCATGTGTGACTGAGTTAGGGTAATGGTGCGGCGTGCTCTGTCCCGGGTGATCTGCAAGCCAAGGTAGCTGCGCAGTTCACCCAGGTCAGTGCACGTGTGTCTCTTCTGCAGCTCGGACTTCACGTAGGCGAGTCCAGCAGTGTTAGCAGTGGCAAAGACCAAGTCGTCGACGTGCACGAGGATGTAGAACGGCGGCAGAGAGGTGTCGGTGCGAAGAAACAGCGACGGGTCGGCAGTAGACGGAGCAAACCCAAGTGCCGCCAGCGTAGTCCTCAGTGTGTCGTGCCACTCACGTGGCGCCTGGCGGAGACTGTAGACTGGACGCCGGAGACTCCACTGGTTACCAGGAGGGAAAGACAAAGTGAAGCCAGGTGGGCGGCGCAGCCAGATCTCCTCGTGCAGGCTGCCCTGCAAGAAAGCAGTGCTGAAGTCGAGAGAGTGCAGCTCGTAGTCACGGTGAGCAGCAACGTGCAGCAGTACCCGAAGAGTGGTCATCTTCGGGGTGGGGGAGAAGGTCTGAAAGTAGTCAACTCCCTGCCGCTGACTGAAGCCACGAGCCACGTAACGCGCCTTGAAGACAGGCGGAGAACCCGGCGGCCGCTTCACCCTGAAGATCCACATGCCACTGACGATGTTCGCCCCAGGAGGGGGAACAGCGTCAACGTAGGTGCCTATGGACTTCCAGGAAGCCATCTCTGCATCCATAGCTGCCTGCCACTAAGAGGAGTAGGGACCCTCTATCGCCTCCGCGTAAGAGCGGGGAGTCGGGATGTCAAGTGCATCCGGGTCTCCCTCAGGGGTGAGCAGTACGGACACGAGATGAGGTGAAGCGGTGGCCAGACACTGGAACTCCTCCTACCTATCCTCAAGGACGTCCGTGCCAAGGGCACACTCACCCTCGACGGACGGAGGACAGACAGACTCAGACTCAGCGACAAGACTAGCAGCGTAGTCTAGACGACAGCGAGCAGCAAAGTCGACGAGCTCAGTAACAAGGGCAGACGCAGCAGTAGACTCGAAAGAAGGGTCAGTCACGGCAGTAGCAAGGACACGCGTGACAGTAGGACTGGCAGCACGAAGAGAGTCCGACTCCGGGTCGGCAAGAGCAGGAAGAGATGAAGCAGGAGGAGAAGGCAAAGGGGCACGCAGAGGAGCAGTAGACGGACGCAGAGACATCCGGTGCGTGCCAGGGACAGGAGGAGGACGCTGACACGAACCGCGACCACTAGCGCGCGCAGCACGAACAGGCGACACAGGACGAGACGCAAGCTCACGACGCTCAGAAAGACCCCCAGTAGGACCAGCGTAGGGAGAAGGAGCAGGCAAAGGGGAGGCAGGCTGCAGCTGTGACTGTGACTGGACAGGCTGTGGACCCTCTAAGGGAGGAGGAGGAGGACCAGGAGAAGGTGTAAGACCAAGAACCTGCTGCAGGAGTGGAACGAAGTACGGTCGGGGCCGCGTGGCGACGCCAGAAACAGCATGGACAGTACCAGTACTCCCAGCAGGAGAACCCGATCCAGCAGCACCTCCAGTAGCTCCAGAACCCCCAGCAGCACCTCCAACAGCTCCAGAACCTCCAGCAGCACTAGGAGCACCGCCAGCCGGACCGCCAGTGGTAGTCTCAGCGCCAACACCCTCAGCAGCACCAGCTCCAGTCGAACCCGCAGGCCCAGTAGCTCCAGTAACCTCAGGACGAGCACCCCCGGGACCTGCGACAATAGCACCCTCAGTAGCCGACGAACCTCCAGCACCAGCAGCACGCCTCCAGCGCCAAGCAAACCACTCACGCAGCTCCTGTAGGGAGAGTGGCTCTCGGCGAGACGAAGCACCCGGAGTACCTCCAGGCGAAGAACCCCCAGGCTCATCACCCCCAGGCAAAGCACCTCCAGGCGTAGCACCTCCAGTCTCAGCACCCCCAGGCTCAGCACCCCCAGGCTCAGCACCCCCAGGCTCAGCACCCCCAGGCTCAGCACCCCCAGGCTCAGCACCCCCAGGCTCAACACCTCCAGGCTTAGCACCCCCCGGCTCCGCACCCCCAGGCTCCGCACCCCCAAGCTCAGTACCCCCAGGCCCAGCACTCCCACTCACAGCACCCCTAGGCTCAGCACCCGCAGCAGCACCAGAGTCACCAGTGTTCTCGACAGGCTCGACCACGTCTACCTGGGACACACCTGAAGGGGCAGGACCCTGAGGGGGAAGAGGGTCTACCGGGGGGGGACCTGGTACGAAGAAGAGCGGGGGTGGGGGGAGGGACGGAGTGCGGTAGGGGAAGAGGCGGTAGTAGGGTACCGACTCGTCGAACGTGACGTCCTGAGAGGACAGAACACGGCGAGAGGTGGGGTGGTAGAACTGCCACCTAGGGGCGTCGGGGGGGAACCCCAAGAAGACGCAGGGAGCAGCGCGAGGGGACAGCTTGTCCGTAGACAAGTCGCGGACAAACGCCCGAGATCCCCAGACCCGGAACGCCAACGCATCGCCAACCTTCCCCGTCCACAGCAGGGCTGGGGAGGTCTCCGGCCTGGAGACCCTGGGGTGGAGGTTGATCTGATGCGCCGCGTACCTGACCGCAAACGGCCAGAGAAAATGGGGAGCAGCCGCATGCATCATAGACGTACGGGCGACGTCCATGACCATGCCAATGCGACGCTCTGCAATCCCATTTTGCTGCGGTGAGTCCGGAAGCGTGAAGGTCTGGCGGATGCCTCGCGCACGATTGTAGGCACGCAGAAGGCCAGAGGAGAACTCTCCGCCTCTGTCCGAGTGCAGACGCAACACAGGAAAGTCCGAGCCAAAGCTCTGCCTGAGCTGGAGACGAGCTGCGTGGATCCAGTCGATCAGCACGTCAGTGACATCACCCTTGCTGCGCAAGGGGAAGACTGTGGTGTAACGCGAGTAGTCGTCAACCACCAACAGGAAGTAGCGCTCGTGACCTAGTCCACGGACGCGGGCAGGGCCCCACACGTCCATGTGAAGCGTCTGCAACGGAGCCTCTGTCGGAGGAAACTG